TAAAATATAGCTAATATTCGTGTTTTTTTTTTTTGTAAATGGGCCTCTGTGCTTTGTGTAAAATTATGAACGTTGCTATTCACATGCAATGCAAGTAAACGTGTTTCTGCTTAAATATTTTAAATGACAAAGTCATGGAAAGTGCCACCTAAAGTGATTATACAGCCGGCCACACATTTTCAATTTAAAGCTTTCATGACTGCAGGGATTCATATTCTTGGTTCTTTCGGTAAAGTCACGTAAAAGGGAAACAATAAAATAATAAAAACATAAAACAATAGAATTCTCACGACGTTTCGACTGCAACACAAGCAATCATCATCACACCTGATGATGATTGCAGTCGAAACGTCGTGAGAATTTTATTGTTTTATATTTTTATTATTTTATTGTTTCCCTTTTACGTGACTTTACCGAAAGAACCAAGAATATGGCCACACATTGTTTAAGCTTCCTAGGAACATTTTGGATGAAACAAATCTGTCTATTTGATTCGCTCTAAACCTTGCAGACTTTGTCAATCTGATTTAATATTTGCCTATCACCACGATCACGCAATACGCAGAGCTCCCGAGCTAAAGTTTGTTGCAAATGCTAAAGACAAAGATCCCCCGTATAGCCTTAACAGACTGTAGGGGCAAGTGCTGTTAGCGAGCACCTATAAAGGCCGGCACGGCACACGAGGGGGGTGGGTGGCCAGCACCACGCCCGGTCGCCTTTGTCTCCCCAGTGGCGATGTTTACACATCGCACCGGGATACTCATTTGAGGCTGAGTCGACCTAGGGGAGGCCCAGGAACCGGTTCAGATGATCGTCACCGGTGTACGACGTGAGCGCGAATCGAACCCGGGTCGCCAGGTTCATAGCGCAGCGCGCTAACCGCTACACTATCGCTGAAGACACACACACACACGCGCGCGCATTGTTCAATACATCTTTCGTTCCCAATGAGCTCACGTAACCATTTACGGGTGAAGTTATTTCACACAGGAAGCGCGGGGAGACCAGGTGCCAGTGGGTAACCCGTGTAACTCAAAGCGTCCGAGCCGTCACCTTCACCGCTCACACCTCGCAGGGTCACGCAGTTCGCCTGCGTGGAGCAGCAGCAGACGGTGCAGAGCAACTCGCCTCTACGGTGGAGGAGAGAGGCATGAGGATTGTAAACACACAACGCAACACATATGTATACAACACAAGATAAAAACCCCAGCGGAGACAAAGGAAGCGTTTCAAACGCGTCCTTGACACCACCAGAGAAACTATGACCAATGCTGGAAATCCCACAAAGCGTATTATTTTAATTGCTATTTTACACGTCAGGTCAAAAAATGCCTGCGCGGCACTGTCGGTTGCACTGTACAGTTTCCTAAATCAGAAGGTTGCGTGCCAAACACAGACATTCGTATACTTTAAACATAGATAGGTTTCCTTTTTAGGTAATCCAAGGGGCTTATTGTGCAAATTCCAAATCACAATCACGTAACTTAGATGGCGCAGTTGCCAGCCCGTGAACGATACAGCTCCGAAAGAGTGCACGCGCCAATAATCTCCATTGCCCACACACCATCGGGACAATTCTTCAATGTGTTCCTCAAACTTAAAAACCACCAACTGCCTAGCAACACTCTGGGCTGTTTTGTGCACCTTTCAACGTGGGGTCGGGAGCACGTGCTCAGTGGAATTGTACTGCGATGCAGAGAGAGAGAGAGAGCCACCGAACAGTGGGCGGGATATGATGTCCAGGTAGCTCAAATCGTTTGGATAAATCGTGTGAATCCATTGTTACCGCACTTTTATCGTCTGGCCATTTAAAACGATCTTGGCGCGTTTAGCACGCTGCAGCGCAGCGTAACAAACATAAATATGTTTCACTCGTTTTAAACCCAGGCGCGTGCCTTCAGTTGATACCCATGACAAAATATTCAATTCGAACGCATCAATTTTTTTTGCGCACACTCAGCTGCAATGTTCGCATGTTGCGCATGGCATGTGAATGTTATGATATGCGAATGCTATACATGTGAATGTTGTGTATGACATGTGAATGTTATAAGGAGCCAAGAGGCAAGGTCATGCCGCTCGTAATTAATGTATTATGTCTGTCGCACATGAAATCAGGCCGAACATAAGTGTCTCTGTGTGTGCGCGTGTACGCGTGTGCACAAACACACACACATACAGTGTAAAAGTTATTGTCTTTTATTTTTAACTCCGAACGCGGTACTGACAAGATGTGATTTAACAACAGCAAAAAAAAACCCCGCCGTAGTGGAATGCAGAAATGCCTGTAGAGTGTGCAGCGTCAATTTTAACATATATATATTTTTTAACAACATCTCCGCCGTGTCGTCATGCGCGGACACGGCACTCAGGATTGGGAGCCCTGGCAGAGGGAGCTGCACTCGTGTGGAGGAGACCAGGGAGTGGTGGTGGTGATTATGTGTGCAGTGGAGAAGCGATCACTATTCCACGCATTTGGAAATGACCCCCTCTCCGGGGCTCGGAGTCGGCCAGTGATCATTCGTCGCAGAGTTTCGGCACGCTTAGTGAACTCGGAATGATGCACGTGCTCAATCGCTCATTGGCTGGGGCCGAGTGCCCCCCTTGTACCATTCCTGCCTTCCCTGGGCTCAATGCGGCCCCGCTCGTTTGCCTTCCCAGTGTAAAGCTCTTTACTTTTAACCTTGAATTGAGTGCATAAATGAATTAATAAATGCTGAATGACTGCTATGTGACGTGGGAATTGGAAGAGGGGGGGGGAGCATTCTTGCAGCAATTTAAAACTTAACAATTCGGGTATTGTAATAGTCGTGCCATTCTCCTGAACACTTTCATGTCAATGTACCGTGGGTGGCTGCTAGATTTATAACAGAATCGCTAGACAAGGTGGTATTGGAATAGAGGCCTTTATGGGCTTTTTTGCACAATGTATTATCTTAAAGGATGGCTTTAACGTTTCATTCTAATTGGAATTATCTCGCAATGACACATTTTCTTTGTTGCGACGACCAAACCACCCGGAAAGCACCTAGTCTCTTCAGATTTCAGAGGCTAAGCAGAGTATGAGCCTTATTCTTACTTTGATTGGGAGAGTGTCTGTGTTGCGGTCATGTTTGGGCTGCCACGAAGATGAATTTCGAATCTATCTGTGCAGAGAATTGAACCTTTCCCCCCCACATATGCGTGGTGACATTTCTCCAGATACTCTGGGGACTCCATTCTAAACTAAGCGAAAACACTACGATGGACTTGTACGTACGTACGTATGTTGCATTTCCCTCGCAGAGTTGGTGTAAGGGGTCGGGTTCATGGCCGGTCCAGATTTTACTCACCACTGATGCTAGCTATGACAGGTAATCTAACTCGGCTCGCAGAGTTTCTTGTGCAAGGGCTCTAACCACCGCACCGCCGCTTCCCCAACTACCACGTTGCCATAACATGAAGGATAGTACACTGACGTTCCACTGAATTAACTGAAATGTCATAATAAATTGATAAAATAAAATAACACAATAATATTCTCACGACGTTTCGGCCACAACACAAGCGGCCTTCATCAGGTGAAGGGACGAGACTGTCTGGAGGACAGCGCTGTCCTGATGAAGGCCGCTTGTGTTGTGTCCGAAACGTCGTGATAAAATTATTGTGTTATTTTACTTTATCAATTTATTGTTTTATTCTCATTATACGTTACTTTAACAAAAGAACCAAAGAAGATGAATCCTTGCAGTCACGAAAGCTTTAAATCGAAATGAAATGTCATATTTTGAAGATGTGCCACAAGCCGGCAGTCAATCAATTACCGTGAAATTATAACCCATGATTGTTGTTGTTGTTGTAAACTGTAAAATATTACTTAGTGTGTTTCCGGTCTTCTTTTTGAAATATGTTTTATTTTTTAATCTCAATCAGCTTTCCAACGTATAAACAAGTGCGCGTGTGAACACTTTGCATGCACGAGACGGGACTCTTCTACTTAACCCGCGGGCTGCGGCCAGGTCCAGACAACCATTGAAGGTTGCTCAGATAAGAGACTGCATGAAGGAGTGCAGCACAGTGGGAGGAAGCCGTGGCGGTGAGAATTGTGTTTGTTAGACACACGGTGGGATCACAGGGTTGTGAGAAAATGGGTTGATTAAGAGCGTGGTTTATGCATTGCTGACTCAATCGGTATAAACCTTTCACCCGAACCCTCGCTCTTTCCACTAAATAAATGCGTGAGTCAGAAGGCCGCCTCACCCCACAGATTTGCCGCATGTGTGTTGTGTCCGCTGTGATGCGACAGTTTTTCAACGCACGAAATTAACATTTGTCTCAAGGAAACTGTTATTGCGTGTCTGCGCACATCGGAACCTGGTTTCGCTCTCGGATTGTTTATTCCGCGATGTGCCCTTCATGCCGTGCATCGCTGCATTTATTTTTGCGTGTAGTAGTCTTTCAAACAAGTTCAATTACACGCGCTATTTTTGAAATCCTCCAGGAGTTTGTAATCAATCAAACAACTATACACCACGAGGAATTGTAAGCGATCCCGCGTTTCCACATTCGTATTGTAAAATGTAAGAGCTCAGTGATTACGTTGATTCTGCACAACACTCACATATGAGTTGGACTAACCTTTAAAAAATAATAACTGCAATGGGGTGGTTATGAAAAAAAAAAAACATGAAATTTGACTTTTCCTCTCAGGCAGAACGAGAAGAGAGGAAAAAAAATTCCAGTTTTTATTACTTGTGCTTCACATATAAATATATAATCGTTATCACGAGTATAAACATTTTCACGCACTAATGCATTCATACACGGCTCTGTTTACATTCTGTGCCCTACCCTTTCCATCAGCGCAAAATGATGGCCATGTGTTCACCGTGCTTCATTCACACTCGAGCGCATGGCGCATTCAAACCCACGTTGCCTTTATTATTATTATTAATGTGTTGGTTCCCTTTTGGCAGGTACCATGACCTCCTTGGGTGACTGCAATGCCAACCCTGCCCCCC